CTACGGAAGTCTGTGAACCCAGGGAGCATTTAGATGAGGACGTAGCATGTACTGCCATTTGCTTTCCTGGATCCAAACTGAGGAGAGGGAAGTTTGATCTCAACTGGAATGGCACAGAAACAGTAACTGTTGGACCGCTTCCAATAGTGAAGCGCAGGTTCAAAGAAGGCATGTTGTCCCCGCAAAAGTTGAAGGTATTTGCGGCAGCGAGAGTGCTCTCTGCGCAGAATATCCTGCTCAGTAGCCATGGTGAAATTCTGATGTAGACGCACGGTTGTTGATGGTGGCCCGGATCTTGAACGAAGTCATACAGGTCTGGGAAGCGAGTCCTGAGGGACCGAGGGGGCCGAAGGTGTTTCATATCCGCGAAAGTGGAGTGCATGACTTCACACAGCAATGATGTGTTGTAGAAGTGAAGTACCTCAAAGAACGGCGGAATGTACCCATGGTTTTGGGAAATAAGTCGCTGTAAGAAGCAAATCAGCAGACACGAAGTGATTCGACATCTGTGAAGCTCATACCTGTTGGCCACAGTGTGACGGGAGCGCGACATAGAATGCATCGGAATTTGAAGTGCAATCCGGACCATGGTGAGCACTTCAAGGATGAGGTCTAACTGAGGTAAATGCTGAATTGATTCATATTCATCCATAGGAACTGATGGTAATCAAAGTCCAGGAAAGCAGTACTGCCAACATGCCGAGAAAAACGTCAATGTGTCCAGAAAGGTAGCCAAGGAATTCCATTGTGCAACGTCCTCGAATATCCCACTGCGCGAAGTTCAGTTTACATGATGAATGTCTAACCAAGAATAGCTACAAGGTGGCGGCGACATGCATTCAAGAGTCAACAAGCAACAAGCCACACACAAGACAAGAAAAAAAGCAATCAACTCACAAGACAAGCCAAGGCCCAAGTCAAGCGCACACAAGTTTTCAACCGCTCATCACTTCGCCGCACAACCGCCACTCCGGGCTAATACTCGAAAAGCAGCAACATTTCACCCGGTGACTAGTCGGGCCGCCACGACGAGGCCGGGTTCCAATCCCCACAAAGACGCCATGGCCGCAAAAGTAGGTGCATCACCTTTTGGCAAACGTTGACGAGCCTGCAAGAGCTGGGCCGCCATAGGCTCCAAGGACTTGTTGCCGTTGAGACGGGACGAGTGATTGGCCCACTTGACCAGCGATGCCACAGTAGTAGTAGTGGGAGCCTGCTTGAGGTACAAACGTGGTTGATCACTGGTCCAGGTGTAGTGCTTGATGATGTCCTCCGGCGTGCTGTGCGTGGTGAGCAACTGAGGTGAAGATGACTTGGAAGGCGGGGACGACAATCCGTGAAGAGATTGTATGATCCGAGGCTGCTGTTGGGATGGACCATCAAACGACCTGCCATTAAGGGCAGCCGCACTTACCGTGGGCAGCGAGCTGGTTGGCGTCGAAGACTGCGAATGATTGGTTGGCGGCGGTGTGACCAATTCTGCATCATCTTTCGGAGAGGGCAGCGTAGAGGAAGGCGAAGTTCGCTGCGACGCCGAGAGCTGTGCCTGGAGCAACTCGTGAGCACGATGGAGATCGTTGTACTTCTTGAGCATGTCGGCCTCTTGAGCAGAGGGTGTAAGAGTCAAATGATGTTGATGAAGAAACTGAAGCACCAGGTTGGCCAAGTGATCATGAACCCTGATGCGCTGATTGAAGTCTTCGATGTTGAGTCCGGGCGAATTGGCAAGGTCCTTTTCCAGGGTAAGCAGGTTGAGCGGCTGCGATCGACGCAGTAGCTTCGAACAAGTGCTCCAGAGCAAGGCCTCGGTGCGGGTGCGGAATCCTTCCCACGTCACGAATCTCCCGTGTGCAAATGGTCGCAGTAGCCAGTTAGAGATGCCTCCGTGGATGACCTGAACCAAGCGAACATCCCGGAGGTCCATGCCTGACATATCACGTGAGTTGTTGTGCGGGGTGCTGGCAACCGTCATGGGCAAGGTGAAAGAGTATAGCTGATTGACGTCGAACATGCCGTCACCAGGTTTCCAATCTTCTGATGGGGTAAGCCACGCATTCTGAGGCTGCACTGGAAGCGTAGCTGGGTATCCTGGCGATGTGGTAGTTTGGGAAGAATGAACCGGTGGGTGGGCAGGTGGTGGCATCATAGGTTTCACGATTTTCGCCGGTGTGGGTTCCGGAGGAAACGGCATCATGTAGTTGACCGGAGGGTGCTGATAGAGCTGCGATGGCTGGTAGCTGCTCTGTGTCAGTGGAAAGGCATTGGGAGCGTTGTAACTCGGATTGTGTTGCAAGGACATCAGGTTGTTCCAATCCATGCCGTCCGAGACCAAGGCGTCATCCTGATCACGTCTGCGCGCTTTGCGAGGCTGGGTAGATGGGCTCCGATCCCGTCTGCGCCGAGTTCTGGATCTGTCACGATCATCCCGTCAAGACATGACGACTCAGCGAGCCCAGGCAATGGCCAAAAATCAGCCTTGAGAAAGACTGAGACCGACCAATTTCAATTCCACGACAACGCAAGATCATGACAAGGATAAAGCAAATCAACTCAAGGATCACTCATGCATCAGTGAGACGTCACTATGGTCTGGTGGCTGTCTTCCCTTTAGTGAAACCTCGTTCCTACTTAAACGTGAAAGGTCAAATTTTCCGGCGAACCGGCCCGGGGTCACACGATGGGTACACCCGAGGGTCCCCCAAGACTGGGGTTGTCACACTTAAACTCCAAATGGAGGGTTCTCATCTTTCGAGTACAACTGATGAGTCTCGAGTACAACTGATGAGTCCCGAGCACAACTGATAAGTCTCGAGTACGATGAGTTTCGGCTCGCAATGCACTTGGCTTCCCTGTAGCTACTTTAACAGGGACTCACAAAACGGTTCAGGGAGGGGACCAAAAGGATTTTCAGAAACATCACGTCACAAAAGCAGGTACGCGCGGATGATCAGTCCGCGCTTCCCCCATGGTGGATAGCTTCGTTGGCACAGGTCACCACCATGGGCCTGTGCCCCCTGCAAGATAAACTGTGGTGGCAGGGTATTCTGCCACTCCGCGCACACACACAAACAAACAAACAAACAAACAAACACAAACAAACAAACAAACAAACAAACAAACACACACACACAAACACACACAAACAAACACACACAAACACAAACACAAACATAAACACAAACACAAACACAAACACCAACGCAAGCACAACCACAAACACAGACACAGACACAAACACAAGCACAAGCACAAGCACACACAAACACAGACACAGGCGCAGGCGCAGGCACAAGCGCAAGCACAAGCACCAGCACAAGCACCAGCACCAGCACCAGCGCCAGCACAAGTACCAGCCACGAGCACCAGCCACGAGCAACGGCCACGAGCACCAGCCACGAGCACCAGCCACGAGCACCAGCCACGAGCACCAGCCACGAGCACGAGCACGAACACGAGCACGAACACCAACACCAACACCAACACCAAACACAAAACACCAAACACCAAACACAAAACACAGACACACAGACACACAGACACACAGACACACAGACACACAGACACACAGACACACAGACACACAGACCAGACACAGACACACAGACCAGACGCAGACACGCAGACACGCAGACACGCAGACACACAGACCCACAGATGCACAGACGCACAGACGCACACAGACACACAGACACACAGACACACAGACACACACAAAACACACCACACACAACACACACAGCACAGACACAACACACACACGCACAACACACAACACACACACAACACACACACACACACAACACACACACACACAACACAAACAGAAAGCCCACACACAACACACACGCAACACAATACACACAACACACACACAACACACACAACACACACACACACACAACACACACACACACAACACGCACGCACCACAACACACAGACACACACAACACACACCCACAACACACAACACACACGCAACACACACACAGAGCACACACACAACACACACACAACAAACACACACAACACACACACACAACACAAACACAACACAACACACACACAACACAACACACACACACAACACACAAACAACACGCACAAACAACACACACGCAACACACACGCAACACACACACGCAACACACACACACAACACACACGCAACGCACAAAACACACACACACACACACAACACACACACACACAACACACACACACGCACACAAACACACACACACACACATACACAAACCGCGCACACAACATGCACACACACACACAAAGCACACACAGCACAAACAACACACACACCACACACACACACACACACACCGCAGACACGCACACACACACACACACACAAAAGACGCGCGCACACACACAGGCAAACACACACACACACACACACACACACGCAGGCACACACACAGACAAGCGCACACACAGACACACACACACACACACACCCACCCACCCACCCACCACCCACCCACCCACCCACCCACCCACCCACACACGCACGCACGCACGCACGCACGCACGCACGCACGCACGCACGCACGCACGCACGCACGCACGCACGCACGCACGCACGCACGCACGCACGCACGCACGCACGCACGCACGCACGCACGCACGCACGCACGCACGCACGCACGCACGCACGCACGCACGCACGCACGCACGCACGCACGCACGCACGCACGCACGCACGCACGCACGCACGCACGCACGCACGCACGCACGCACGCACGCACGCACGCACGCACGCACGCACGCACGCACGCACGCACGCACGCACGCACGCACGCACACACACACACACACACACACGCGCAACACACACACACACACACACGCCACTCACACACACAGACACAGACACAACTACACACAGACACATAGAGACGCAGAGACAAAGCCACGCCCACACACACATAACATACACATACACATGCACGCACACAAGTGATTTCACAGGCACTGTCGTGGCAGGTCGCTATAGCTGCGGAAGCACTAGCAGTGCGAGCAGCGATCACAGCGGCCGCGGACCTATCCGCTGTCAATGTGTGAGCTGAGAAGATGAGAAGCTAAGGCCCACTGGGCGGGAACTTCAGGTCGTCGGCTGTGACGCGCAGAGCTCAACACTTTGCCAGGTATTGTTTTGCTTGGCTCAAGCCAATGCTCACTTCGGAAACCAGGCCAAGCACCAGCACTACGTCATTGATCGTGTCAGGCTCCTAGTAGCTTAGCAACATGGCTAGGGATGCTAGGCGAGGGGACTCGGGTAAACCAGCAAACCATGCAACAAACAGGCCATACGCTGGGCATCGCCCAGTACCTGCCGGCGTTCTAAGCTCAGAATGCACCCGCTGCCCCGTGCTGGTGGGCCAGTGGCACATGCAGCATGTACCAACTGAGGCACCGTCAAATCCAGCATATGCAGGCGACAATGGGGTTGAGCAGAAACCGCCGAAGCTTCCATTGTTGCCGGCAGCCGTTGTACCTCCGCCGGGCATGCCTACCTGCACCCCCACAAGACCAAGGATTCTTGAAAAAAAATAGTATTCTTCGTTGCGGGTGGAGCTGCCAATCAGTGCTGCGAATGCACAGCATGGCGTGGCTGCCAAATTGCTCGAACTGAAGTGGCGTAAAAGTTGGAGGACAGGAACGGATACAGCGCATGCACCCAACAGCCACAGCAACCAAGCAGAGGCACACCACGTACATGCGCACCGCTGTGCCAGTACCGCACCTCCGGAACCATGATTTGACATAGCAGAGAGATGGGATTGGTGGAGTGTTTAGAAAGCAGCAGGGACTTGCAGTTGTGGCACGATGTCATCGGTGTCTCCGCGGCTTCGGGAACTGGTCAAGGCACGATGGCCAATCAGCTGCGCTGCGACATACTTAAACTCGGGGATGTGCCGAAAAACAATGCAGCCTCAGGTTTGCCTCCCTACTTGCCAATTGTTTGGCAATACTTGGCATCATGTGAATGGTTGGATTCCTGAAAACCGCCTTGACAAATTGCACTGTTGAGTTTTGGAAGCTTCGTGGCCTTGGTGCGGAATTGCCAGTAGCATGGAGGCAAAAGAGTCGATAGACATGCGGCGAATGGGCAAAAGCGAGGGGGGTATACACGCGACTGCCTTTTTGCCTCCCATTACCTCCTGCGTTTCCCGTGGGGGTTTGTTCACGGTTGCCTGGCAGCCCTGCAGGCAACAGCCAGATCCTTGAATCGCTCCTGGTCCGAAGCGGAGCCTTTCCTGTCCCTGCTGGAAGAGAATTGGTACGACACCGTGGAGAGCCTCAGGCCAGGGAATTTTGAGTCACATCGGTCAAGGACATCAAACGCACGTAGCACGGGACTACGCTTGCCAGCTTGTCACAGGGCAGTGGGCCTATCAGAGCTCCAAGCGCTCGGCATTCCGCTCAGATTTGCGAAGGACTGATTGACTATTTGTGGCATGTCACGGAGGTGTGTGTTTGTGGTTCAGCTTGCAAGCAGTTTGGTTCTTTGAACTGGCAAACTGGGTTGTCGCCAGACCTGGGTACTTGGCCTGAGAGCACTAGAAAATGCTGGCGCGCTCATTCCGGTCATAGAGTCATATCCTCGCTTGTGCTGCATACATGTCGTTTTCATATTAAATATGCAGGAACTCCTTCCGTCAGGAGTTGCTGCAGCTGTCGGACAAAAGTGATGCGCGAGCCCCTTCATCCCCGGCACGTCGCGACCGCTGGGATGACCGTGACCGAGATAGAGGCGAACGAGGCGACCGCGATCGAGGCGACCGAGCCGACAGAGGGAAAGGTGAAGGGACACTTGGCATAGCTTGGCATTAAAAGCAAGGCGAGGGTGTTGGGTCTGCCTTGCTTGGACCTGCCGGCGCAAAGGAAAGGGAAAGGCAAAGGCAGCTCGAAAAGCGCCCCTCCAGCCGTCGAATCAGGCCTGGCGGGACTGCTCGCAGGGCCTGCCAAATTCCAACAAGTGTTTTGTTGCCTTGCCGAGTCAAGACCCTCCTGGATGCAGGCAGAGGGAGAGGGAATGTATGTGCATCTCTAGGCCTCACATGTAATTCTGTTCCTTTGGTTCTGAAATGACGCACAAGTTTGCAGCCAAGCTGCGGGCAGATTAGGGCTGCATGTGCTGGAAGAAGGCAGCTCCAGGAGTACCCTGAATATCCCTGAAATACCTGAGCACAAGCTCCTATTCCAGTTTCATACCCTTTGGCAGAGCTGCATAAAACTTGCGGCAGCTGGAAGCCTCACGTCACAGGCAAGTGCTACACTTGTGGTGGAGATCATTTTGCTCGAGAGTGCCCAGAAAAAGGCAAGGGCAAAAGCAAAGGCAAAGGCAAGGACGGCAAAGGCAAGGAAGGCAAGGACGGCAAAGGCAAAGAAGGGAAGGACGGCAAAGGCAAAGAAAAAGGGAAGAGCAAGAAAGCGCCTTGTTTGCTTGGCTGCCTGTTTGTTTGCTCGCTCATGCAAAGCACCAAGGGCAAAGATTCAGAGGCGGCCCAGAATGGGGCTTGCTTTCTGTGTGGCTACTTGGCACGGGATCTCAAGAGCATGAGACGTTATTGGCCCCTTAGTAATCACCGCGTCTTTCAAGCATTCCAAGGTGGTGACCATTTTGCAAGAGATTGCCCGGGCAAGGATGACATCACCCGGCCCTCTCAGAGAGAGTTTGCGTATTCCCATAAGATTCACTTTGACATCCAGCAGATGGACGAAAGGTTTCCACTAGCAGCCCGACTTATTGGGAAAGGCCCGGCAGCTTTGCACATTCACAAGCAGGGGTGAAGGACTGTTGGGGACAAGCTGCAACTTGCACTGTATTTTGCAGGTGGCAAGAACGTGAAGCACATCACGAAAACCACGGGCGCTTGGGTTTGGCTGTGTGGCCGGGGCTCTGGGATGAAGGACCTGGACCTGTCAAAACGACGGGCGAAAACGCGCCACATAACTTGAGCTCAACGATGGCCAGTGCCTAAAACGCGAACTCGGGAATGGGCAGATGTATGCCCGACCTTGTTTGGCACGAGGGCCCTGGCCCTGAAGGACAAGAATGGTGAGGAATCGGACGAGCCACTGCATATGGTCGTGAAGAGTGACGACCAGGAACCGTTGGCAACGTTCTAGGTTTGGTTCGCATACAAATTGTACGAAATGAGTTGCAAGTACTGTTTTGGTTACTGGTGCTAGTACTATTGCTGCTACTGCTACTGCTCCTACTGCGAGTACTGTTGCTACCGCTACTGCAGCTATGAACTACTCCTACTACTACTGCTGCTACTGCCACTGCTACTCCTGCTACTGCTACTGCAACTACTACTACTACTACTGCTGCTGCTACTACTACTACTACTACTACTACTACTACTACTACTGCGACTGCCACTGCGACTGCTACTCTACTGCTACTGTTGCTGCTACTGCTACTGCTACTGCTACTAGTACTGCTACCGCGACTGCGACTGCGACTAAGGCAACAACAGCTACTACAATTCAATTACTGCGAATGCTGCTGTACTACGTTTCGATACTTCCCACTTAGGAATCGGACCATGGGAAGGGGCATGGAAAAAAAGGAGTTGGACTGGGAACGGGAACGGAACGGGAATGGGAAGTGGGACCGGGAACGGGAATGGGAAAATGGGAACGGGAATGGGAATAGAAACGGGCGGGCGCGGGAATGGCCCCTAAGCCCGTAGATTCTTAGCGGATGTTTGTCAGTTCCGTTCTCGTTCCCGTTCCCGTTCCCATCCTCCCCTTCCCCTTCCCCTTCCCCTTCCCCGTTCGTTCCAATGCCCGTTCCCATTCCCAGTCCCATGTCCATTCCCGTTCTCGTTCCCACCATTTCTGCCGCCCGTTTCCCTCTCCCATCCGCGTTCCCGTTCCAGCCCCGTGCCCACTCATTCCCGCTCGCATTCCCATTCATTCATTCCCACTCCTATTCCCATCGCGTTCCCTATTCCCGTTCCCGTTCCCATTCCTTTCTCCTATTTCTACAGCTGGCAGAGGAGCAAAGGTGACTTTGGCTGAGGAGTCGCGTGCGCAAAAATGCACAGCACGGACGTGGAGGAGACCTCCGCCCGTTTTAAATATACACGATTTTCGTTCCGTTCTATAGCTCCTCCGTCCTCCACTGACAAACATCAGCTAAGAATCTACGGCGCCATTCCCGTGCCCACCCGTTTCTATTCCCCTCTTCCCAGTCCCGTCCCATCCACTCCCGTTTTTTCCCATTCCCCGTCCCCATTCGAGTGGGAACGGGAACTGGAAACTGGGAACGGGAATGGGAGTAGAAACGAGCGGGCTCTCAGCGGATGTTTGTCAGTATTTAAAGACCTCCGAATATACATTGTTTTTGGTTCCGTTCTAAGAGTCTATAGCTCCTCCGTCATCCACGGACAAACATCCGCTACGAATCTGCGGGCGTAGGGGCAACCAATTTGTGTTCCCATTCGACTTCCCGTTCCCCGTTCCCATTCCGCTCCCATTCCCGTTCGGATTCTCATTCCCATATTCCGATTCCCGTTCACGCTTCCTTTCCCATTCCCGTTCCCATTTGCAGTCCCACTTTGCAGCAGTCGAGACAAGCTGGTGATGCGGTTGCGTTTTCTCATTTGCCATGGTTTTCAGACTCCAACAGCCTTCCTTTGACTGACTGCGAGCAGCTGCAAGCTGCCACGAGCTGTCACGCGCAGGGAAGCTTGGAAGAAGCAGTACAAGTTGCAGAAGATTTGGTCGACACGATCCTTGACTCGTACAACGACTGGGCCGAAGCGGAAGGGGTAGGCGGTGATGCGGACGAAAGGGCATGCCACTCGGCATCGTTTGATTCGGTTTGGGATGTTTGTCGGGGAACATGCCGGGCCAGGGGTGCTCATGCAGGCTACCACTGCGGTGGCTATGGGCACATGAAGCGCGACTGCCCTGAGAAAGGTAAGGGCAAAGGCAAGGGCAAGCGTGAGAAGGGAGAGAGCAGAAGCCGACATTGGGACGAAGACCGCGCTGAGCCCGCCAAGCGTGCGCGGCACTAGCAGGGTGCGTTCGAGCCAGGAGTCACTTAAGAACCAGCTTGCGCAGGTCAGAAGTAATGGGTCAAGCAAGAAAGATCGAGTTCTGTTGGGCTAGTGAGCCTCGGGAGCTCCGCGGCTGTATGCAAAGTTGAGTTAGCTTGGACCCCCCTCCCCAATGATATCAGGATGGACGCTGGCGTAGAGGGCAGGTGCACAGTTTCACACGCGCCCCGTTTCCCATTCTTGCCCAGCTGGCCCAGACCACAGCAAGGTGGTCTTTCAAACGTCACTGTTATCACTGATAACTTATCAGTGCCAGTGTTACGGCTGCAACTGAGAGGATGCCCGTGCAAAACATGCCTTGGAGGGGTCGCTCTAAGTGTGCCTGCGGACTGCTGTGAGAAGGTGCCTGTCAAGGAACCTGCCCCAGCGGAGAGGCACCTGACCAAGTGGCTTGAAAGGAATGGCATGAATGGTGTCTTTCGGCCATGCCATTGCCTTGGCAGTGACGGCGTGGGAGAGGTTCGAAAATGGCCGTCTTGAGGCAACATCACCGGCATGCCAAGCTTTGATTGAGTTGGTTTGAGTTGCACTTTGGCACCCTGTGAGGAGAAGACATGCGGATGAGCTACTCTATGGATCCTGTGGGGTCTGCCAGGTCTTGCGCTGACGGTGTTGGCCTCAGGCCCCGCGCCAGGCCTTTGGGGGGGCTGGAGCTGCCTATCAGGCCACCCCCGCAGCTCCTGCCCACTGAGCACCGCCAGTGAGGACTTCCAGGCGAGTCGCTGCCGACGGATCGTTGGTAATGATTGAATTGCGGATTTAGAACCAGTTCGATGCAATCCATTTCGTCAAGCTTTGGTTTTGGCAGCTGGTGCGATGCCCTGGCGAGTGCCACAAAGATACGGCGCATGCCAGGCCATGTCGCAGGGACCTTTGCCTCCCGTATGGCCCTTGGCTCCCAGACGGCCATTGCCATTCTACATCGTTCTATATCGTTCTATATCGTTCTATACAGGACGCCATGGGATATCGGATCAGTATAAGCAACTGATGCTAGATGACCGTGGCTGAGATCATGCGGGTTGCTTGTGGATAATTCTTGGAGGGCATAAGAGGGCATTCCAACCCAGGTCGATGCCGAAGAGGAGCCAGACACGTTGGAGCCCTGCCCTTGCCTCACAGCAGGGCTTCGGCCTTGCCTGAGGTTGGGGGGTCGGGAGGTGGAGCTGCTGTGCCAGAAGGCGAGGCTCCAAGAGAGAGCGCGAGTGCAATGAAATGCTTTGTGCAGGCCCAATGCCTGGTGCGACAGATTGGCGCGCAGGCTGCCGCTCCGCAGAAATGGCACTGATTTGTCGACTTGGTCATGCGTTTGTTTCGCGTGCCAAGGGCTTTGAGATTGCGGGCCGCCGCCTCAAGAATGTTGGTGGGCCCCTGCCTACACCACCGCCACGGGCACATGCTGAAACATGCCACAGAAGAGTTCCACAAAGCCAAGCTCCAGCCCAGCGCAGCTCGCATTGCGCTTAGGAGCGAGGGGCAGCGCCCGATCCAGCCCTTGCAGGAAGGCGCCGGCGCTCCGACCCTGGCTCTGAATCCATTGCGAGCTCAGGTCTCGCCTCCGGCAGCCTCGCCATGCACGTGCCAGGCTCAGTGCAAGAAGCAGGGCACGGGCAAGATCGGGGAACGTAGGGGAACCCCCAAACTGATGACTTTCCTTTTAATGGTTTTTCTTTTTGAAAAGGCCCACAGAAAACTTCAGGTTTGCCTCTGAGGCCGACCGGTCGAAGCAGCCCGGGTCTTGGGTTTGAGTGTGATGCATTGGCTGGAGCTGGTTTTGTGCAAGCCTTCCACCATGCCACGCTTCAGGTGATGCCTGGCAAGCCAGGTTCAGCCCTGCACAAGCTTTGGCCTAAGTGTGGAGAACCTGGAACAAGGCCAGCAAAGGCAGTGCAGCTTCAGTTGAGCTTCATATCGAAGGTTGTCAGCATGCCCAAGCCCATCCCAAGCCCATAGGGCAGGCTTGAAACTAGAGCCATGGGTGGTGCCCCGAAGTACATGCACAGGAAGTCAGGCAGGGCGGGCAAGCTCCTTCACATCGTTTCGCTGCAAAATCCGGGTTTGCGGTGCAAGGGGAAGGCAAAAGGAAAGAAACTCCAATTTTGGGGCCATTTCCCTATTTTCACACGAGCATGTGGGGAGGTGCCGGGCTCCTTGTCCCACACACGGTCGAGAAGCGCGCGCGCCCGGTTTGGTGCTCGGCGCAAGACTCCGAGACCACGTTGCTGAGGCGTGCAAGTGTTTCAGAGACAGATGGCCGCCCAGGGCCACGCGTCATCCGGACTTGACGCTAAAGCCTCGCGAGACCTATCCCTTGAAGCAAACCAAGACAAAATGGGGGGGGTTTTCGCAGCAAAAGCAAGAACCACAGCAGAAAACATGTTGCTTGTGTGAGTCTGAGTTTGAGCGAGAACAAGGCAACCCACCATGTAAAGGCTCAATCAATACTTTGTTGTCCCAATGCGGCTAGACCCTCAGTGGGATGCTTTACGATGTTGTGGGCACATTCTCTCAGCATGTTTGGAAGGCAAATGCCTCGATCGCAGAGCGCGCCTGGGTTGGCTTGCCGACCGCCACGGTTCAAGAGCGGACGTGGGAACCTCGGGTGCCAGATCCAGTCCTGACAACGCGAGAGATGCCATTGTCTGAGTTTCGGTAGTCCATGGTTATTTGGGAGGGACAAGGGGGGGCACAAATGGTACAAAGTGATTCTTGACCATGGCTTGCATGCAGGCCCCTGTCCTGCACGAGAGGATGCTGAGCTGGAGAAGCAGCAGCTTGGTCTCAGTTGGAAACGGATGTGCCGCGCGTTGCAAAATTGCGTGTTGGTTTGACGGAGAAGCAGACGTCGCCTAGGTTGAACTTCTTGGACCAAGTCTTTGCTTCCATCGGCCGGAGGAGCAGAGCTCGACAGGCGCCTGTGATACTTCAAGGACGTCAGGACCTGCTGCGAAAAGCGCGGGGCCAGCGCTGTGGCCCGGAATGCGGCCACCCCACGCGACCTGCGCATCCGATGCAAGTCCCCAAGCTCGGCCTGGCAGAGCTGGGGAGCTCGCTGCCACTCATGCCCGACATGCAGCAGGTCGCTAGCGATGTGGAGGAAGTAGTTTGGCTGCGCTTGTGACGGGCGCGGATGTTGTCTATGATCCGCCGTGCTTTGTTTGGCTTTGCCCAGGTGCAAGACAGCGGCAGTGTTCATCATGATTCGATGGCTGCGCCGGAGGATGAGGAGGTGGAAGAGGAGGAATTCGAGGAGGAAGCAGCTTCATCTGAACCTAGCTTCGAAGATGATTCTGATGCTGAAAGGTGACAGCACCAAAGCGGGAGGCAGCCAAAGACAGCCTATGGGGAGCTACTCCATACTGCTGCCCCATGTCAAGTGTTCACATCTTTTCACCGTAAGCCAAAGCGCTTCACTGCTTCGTGCAGAATTCTGAAAGATTTGGCGTGCATCTATCAGGACCTGGGATTCGGGTGCCACATTGAGCCCTGCAGCCACAAAGTCTTCAGCACATGCACCTGTATCATCCTGTACCACCTGTGTTGAGGGCCTGACGGATTGCAGCGCTGCTCACCTTGGACCCTTTGAGGACTGCAAGCCATGCTGATTAACCCCTGCCAGCCTGAAGAAAATGTTAAAATGTTATGGCCGGCTCCTGCCGGCATGTGGAGAACTCAACCGTTGAGTGCAGCATATGCAGAATTGCTGGCCATAGGACTTTTCAGAGCTGAAGGGTCGGCTATCTCAAGTGGAGCAGGCGCGTTGCAATAGTGCATGTGTAACTGCACCTCGCGAGTCAAGACAGCAAACGAATAGCAAAAGGGGGTAACACGCGGCAGTGGCCGTATTTGAAATTGGGGTTTGCCGGGGGTGGGGGGGGGGGGACAGGGCCCATCAGAAATCACCAGGCATGATTACGGGACATCGCAGAGGTGTTCTGTTGTATGTTTATTCTGAAGGGCTATCGCAGGCCATCACGGGGCGCGACAGGGCATCACGGGGCATTGTACGCCCTCTCTTTGAATCGCGTGCCAGGCTTTACAGCACATGTGCCAGGGTGCGCCAGGGTGCAAGAATGAGGCTCGTCGATGGGTGGAGCAGTGTCATGCCGTGACGTCTTGAGCTCGTAGGCTCACCCTGTGCCAGGTGCTGAATCTGAGAGGTCGGATGCAGACGGTCCTTGGCTCAGCCACTTCTTGTTCCAAGTGTCCGCACTTGCATGGTCAGGTCGAGTCGGAAGTGGCAGACGTTCGGGCAGAGTTGCGAGAGGCAGGCTGCATTGAACAGCGTGACATTCTTAGCCAAGTCGGGCGGTTCCCCTCTTCGGGAAGCCAATTTCACGGTCTAAAAAAGCGCCTTGCGTAACAACCACGTGAGCGCGCTGGCCAAACGGTGCCTTGCATGACCTCCATTCCGCTTGCTTTTTGCTGTTGCTATTTGATTCAGGCGCTTTGATGCATTAAGATTCACAGGGCCGCCAATCCAAATCTGAGCAGGTGCGCAGTGCAGTTTCACGATTGACATCCTCAGAGAAGCTGAGCTGCGAAGCTAGCGCACCTGTGGCACCAGTCGCGTTGCTTGGCAGAGATTTGTGCTGTCGAATACTTGTTTTTGTTGGACATGGCCGGCATCGGAGCAGCATGGTGCAGCTTTTGCGTTCATTTAGGTCTATCCGAGCGTGCTGCAGCCTTATCGTTGCAAGCCTTGCAGCCTGCTTGTGCCGTTGTTGGCACAGAGGCTCATTGACTCGCAGGCAGCCAGGGCGGTAGTGCACCAAGCCCATCGATGCCAGCGAGGCCTTGCACGGGGCCACCTTGGCAGTTGTGTGCATCACTTTGAGCCTAAGCCCTGCGGGTTTGCATTTGCTTGCAGGCTTCCCGCAGAGCGGGGTGGTGACCAGGCGTGACTTTTTTCGAGGATCGAGCACCATGAAAAGTACAACGCGGGCATCGGTGTTGTTGCCAGGCCATGGCTCCTGCCAACGCCATCCATTTTGACGCTGGATACCCGAGATTTGTGATGATTGCCTGGTGTGCAGTTGTTTTTTGGTATAAGAATAGTTCAGCAGCTTTTGATGAACGTTGTCTCTCGTAAGGCGTTCATTTGCCCCACTTCGCGCGTGGCATGGCGCGTGGCAGGGTAAAACTCTCCGGCTTAAACTAATGCGGACATTTGTGCGCAGCTCTTTTGCTACAGCGTTGACCAGATTCTCAAGGCCACGAAGCTCGTTTTGATGGGCCGTTCCCGCAACATGCGAACCCATTGCAGGTAGGTTGCAACCGCCAAAACAATCACATTGAGAGCACTCAGAACACAGTCTGACACGGTGCGGCCATGAGCCTCCTGGGGGGCAGCTATGACAGTGACGGCGAAGAGAGCGGGGAGGCGAAGGCAATTTAGCATCGGCAAAGCGATAAATTAATTGCATACCTTGGACATATGTTTAGCTGAGCAGCCTCGAGCTGTAGTGTCATTTTGGGGCACTGAGCAGCAGGTTGGAGAGCCGTCGCCTGATGCAGCAAACAGCCGCAGACTGAGCTGATGTGTCACAATGAGGGCACCCAAAGAATGTGATTTTCCTTTGGTTTGCCCACTTGAAAATCGCAGGCTCAGCTCCGGCACTGCACAGCACTGGAACCCTTGGAAGCGCCAGGCGGGGAGGCCTCTGAGTCCGACCTTGCCTTGCTGAAGAAGCGGAAGGCCTTGATGGGACGGGGCAGCAAGGGCGTGTAGGGCAGTAAGGGGCCGTATCGGTCATGCTCGCTCAGATCGACTACACGAAGCTTCCGCTGTCGAGGTCAGCTGCGCATTGCCAAAGGGACGAGAGAAAGAAGACCCATGGAATTCTTTGAAATGAATTGCAGGGCTTCCAGGAGTTGGGTTTTGAGGTGAGGCTCAAGCTACAGCTGCAAGGCCTCTGAACTTGGAGCCCAAGCCTGCGGAAGAGCCGGAAGCACCCCTCAAGAAGGCGTTGGATTGGGATTTGGCGGCTTCACATGCTGCATGAGCGCTTTTTTTGGTATTGTCATCACCTGCGAAGCTGTCCCTCTCGCCTCGCTCGCAGGCAGCTGAGCTGGCTGCAAACCCTGTCGGGCAAAGCTTGCTAGCCGCGCTTCCGCCTCCAAAGGCTGGGCATGGGTCACCATGGGTCCCTGAAAGTGAGATGAGCTGAGGGTCTGGCTCGCTATGCCGTTTGCTAAACATGTCGGTTTTCCTTTTTTGGTTTCCAAGCTGCAAATTGTACCACGGCACGCCCAATGACATACTCACCCACATGCATGCTTGACCGGAATGCAGGTGACTCTGGGCAAGGAAGGCACCTCCTCCATCCGGCTGGACCTTTCAGAAGAGCCAAGGCTGCAAGTCGCTGGAAACTTGTCACCCAGTTCTTTCTCTCTCGGCAAATCAAAGGTGCTTCAACGCCGGCCTTTCTCTTTTTGCCGGCTTTATGCAAGAAGCGGGGTCCTTTTGTCCGAGTGTTTGCGGAAAAAAAAGACAGGAGGGTAGTGGCAACAGCCAAGCAGTCCAACAGTGCTCAAGCCAAGAAACGGACAAAGCACGTAGCAGTTTGATGCTTCATGTTGGACGCCTCAGCGAAATGAGGTAATAAAGCCTCCAAGGCTGGAACGCTTGCTGCACTTCTGCTTCATAGCGTGCGTAACTGTGATCCAACCTTGCCATCCCTGCGAGGGAGAAAAGCTATGCTCCCGTTGAGGGCTTGCTGCGCCCAGAAGATTACAAAGATCAAGACGAGGAGGTGCGCAGCTGCAATTTGGCAGCTTGGGCCAGTTTCATCACTAGTGACACACATGTTGACGAGTCATGCCTTTTTGCCAGGCTGCGGATGTGCCTGCTAACGTATTCAACCACCCCATGTTCTCCACCCACGTGTGTCATGGCTGCACGGAAAATTTGCTTGCAATGTCCGGGGCTGGTGGGCGACAGCTTCCATAGGAGCGAAGCAACACTCTTTTTTTTTGGCTTGGCCGCGTTTCAGTTCTTGACAGCTGAGGGTGCAGCCCGATGGGCCTTCCGCAGATGACTTGGTGGAGCTGCTGCGCGGTTGCATCACCGATGCTGAAGCTAAACGATTTCATGTTCTAAAACGAATCCAGCTTTGAAGCCATAGGCTCAGGCCGCCGAAGTGCATTTCCAAGGGTTGATTCCCCATTCGTTCTGATTGAATTGATACTGCCCTTTCATTGCCATGTTTGAAGAGAAGGGATCCCCTGCGAGGATGGGGAAAGTTCGGCTGGAGAATTGTTTGACATCGTATGTGTTGTTTGTGTTTGATGTTGGTGCTTGGTGCTTGTGCTTTCTTGTTGTTTGCTGTTTATCATTCATCCCGGAAGCTGGTTGACACCTGCTGCCACATTGCTCGGACGCATGCCTTGCGGCCTGTGCGGGCTTGCCATTTTGACATGCCTGGTTCACAAGCTTCGGGCGGCCACGGGAGATACGAAGACTTATCCCAAGCGGCAATCGATGCCAGCTTTCGGCCCGCCCTTTCTCTCATTTTGCTTGTAGTTCTTCCTTTTTGTTTGTTGTTTTGTCGCTTTCGTCGTTGCTGCTTGCCAGGTGCCGGTATGTGTTCTGAAAGCAAAAGGGCGGTCTTTAAAGAGGCTGGAAATCACCGGCCCGGTCTACGAAATTCGGGGAGGTGTTGTTCGCTTGTAGGGCGACAAGTGCGCGTTCGAGACGCTGCCAAACAAATGTGTGTAGCGCGCTTGGCCAGCCAAGGCGGAAACCGCAAAAGTTTGTCGAGCTCAACGCTGATGACATGAAGGCAGGCGCCTGTGCATTTGTGGCCACATGCCAGGGACCATGCCCTGTTCCTGTAGCTCTTCCCTGCCAGGACCCTGACTGGTACATGAAGGATCAGATTTCCGGCGGACCAGGCTACCTCACCAAAAAGCGAGTATCAGACGATGTATCCATGTGCCCCGGAAAGCAAGCAGTTTCACTTCAGCAAATGTTTGTTTGCAGTGTTTGCGCATGTTTCCTTGCCACCGCAAATTGCTTGACCTGCTTTGGCGGATGCGCGCAGTTTTTGCCGCGGCGCCAGGTACGATGGGCAAGGCTGGAAGCAGACCACGCATGCCAACCCCAGCCGCGTACAAAAGAGGAAACACCAAATCAATTGGCACTTTGACTGCAAGTTGTTGAAGTATTGCTTGCATGTCGAAGTCATGGAGCACCGTGACAGGGCATTGCCTGAGAACATGCGCCACACGACGCTGGTATTGCTTGAGCAGCCTAGGCTTGCAACTGAAGCCATGGAGAAGGAAGCAGAATATTTGGAACGCGGGTCGCAGAAGATCCAGTCCAAAGCACCCTGGCCAACACGAGAACGCACATTTTCTGGTGGCCAAGGGTGGCCAAGGGTGGGCATGCAAGCAGGGTTGCAGTCAGTAACAACAACTCAGCAGTAGGGACAGCTTAGATTTGCAGTTTTGTTTGGCATGGAGCAGCTGCCGCCCAGTTAGCCCTTGACTGAGGGTGGGTAGCACAGTTTGCTTTCAGGCGCAGACCCATGCCAAGTATGGATGGTGAGAAGCTAGCTACGTGTCACCCATCAAATGGCCGCTGGCCACAGGTGGCCCGCCAAGTCGGAAAGCACTTGCTGGCTTTGGGCCACACAGTTGCAGCTGGCCGCCGCTCGTGTGATGAGATTGGTAAGCAAGGTTTGGGCTATACAAGTTTGTTCAACTCAACCCTGTTCGAGAGAAGGCAGACAGTGCAGGCCCCGCAAGTGCGTGGTGGATGCGCAGCATACCCGCGACCTCTGTCAGGGTTTCAGAGACACACCGCAAGTGAGCCGGCCAGAGAAACGCAGTTTCAAAAAGCCTGTTTCCATGCGGGCCATGCAGGGCGGCCATGAGGGCCATGCGGCCATGCTCTTGCGCCACGTGCTGTACGAATAATTTATTGCAGTGGCTAAGGTGTCACCCAGGAAGCCTGGCTTACCTCCGCGCCCGGGAAACTTGGGGACCCAGGCTGGAGAAGATGGCCAGATGTCAGCTGTCATTTGCAATCCAAGTCGCAGCGAGGCAGCGAGCAAGGTGCAAGTCTCGGCCTTCCCAGCCCTCGCGGCCTTTCAGCAGAAAGCGCCAGGCTGCGTTCAAAACGCAGGAGCAATGCCAAGTATGTGCTTTTATTGTCCGTGTCTGAAAGGAGAGTTTTGAGCGTTTATATCTGAGGGGATAGCGGATAGCAGCTGCGCAGGGTGGCCATGTCCTCCAAGCCCGGGCTTCGTGACCCATATGACGCAGCCACAGGTGCCTCGCCACAAGTGTGTTTCGGAGCTTCTCCCAAATATCGGGAACTCATCGACACGGGCAAGCGACATTCTTTTCGACGGAGCTTGCTAATCCCTTCCCCCTAATAGAAAACCATCCCCCCCTGCCCCCTAAAGAAAAAACTTGGAGGGAGTTGAATCATAGCGGGTCGCCGGGAAACTTGAAATTGTATTTGCGATTTTGGTTAAGGGGTTACTCGCGACTTTTGGCCTCAGGTAAATGCACCTCAGACTGTCAGGGCCTGCAACTTGTGATGTCTGTACCAAGTCGAGAACAACGCTCAAAGTTCCGCTTGGAGTTATGCAAGCAATTGGTGCAAACAGCCAGGATGCGCGCGTCTGGCTGAGGCACATCCATCTCTGCGACCTATGCAAGGAGGCGACCAAGGCCGAACCAGGCCTTTTGAGTGTCATTCCGCCTCAGGCTTGACAGCGTCTCCGTTGCACGGGAGCCCAAGATGAGAGCTGAGTGTGGTCGCCAATCGCGACAAAGCTGACTGAGGAGTATGCGCATGAACTGGATGACAGCCTGAGGCACTGACGCAGCTCGAATTTCACTGCTTCCCAGTTCCGTACGTACAACGTGCTCTTTTGAAAGGTTCTGTCAATGCCCAGTTTGCTTTTACACGGAGTGTCACAAAGCTCAAGCCAGCGGTACATGCTGCAAGCTTGGCATAAGCTTGCTACGTCAGCCGCGTCAATTTGTGAGTCTATGAACTCATTTTGGGTTGGGGAGGCGGGATGCTATGTTCCGCCCCCCAAAATCGACCCTTCAAACCTTCAATGCAGCCCGGGGGGCGGGGGTTGAATCGGGGAGGCTGGGTGGGGCCGGAAGCTTGGCGCCAACGGCGGGTTGGGATGGTGGGAGCTGAGGGCTAGGAGCAGCGCAGCTGATTGCAAACGCTGGCTTGCTGTGGGGCTGTGCTTTGGGCACAGATGCGGAGCTGGCTGGCGGCTCGGGGTTGGAGGGCCGGAGAAGGCTTGCCAACGGGCATGGCGCGGCTGCTACTCGGGTGGCAAACATTTGCGGGTGGCGAAGCGGAGCGAATTTGGGGAAAGCGGGTCCTTCCCTGAGGGCCAAGGCACATTTCAATGTGTTTCTTGTTGGTTGCAGAAGCTTACACGTGCCTGACACATTGCTCGAGGATAAACTGATGGGGAAACATGGGTTTACGTTTGCACGGGCGGCTGTTGTCGGGACTAGCTGGCTCTAGAAGCCAGACATTTCATCAAACATTGGGTGCTCCGTGCCCGTTTTTGTGTTAGGGACGGAAATGCACATGTTGTGCCTGACAAAGCTAAAGACCAACATGTCGTAAATATGTTGGAGCCTTTAGCATGTGTGGGTGTACCGATGGGAAACCAAGACACATGCATGTTGTTTGCTTATCGAGTGCCCCATTGCCTTCTCCACAGGACATGCAGATCGCATGCAGCAAAAGCAAGAATAACATTGGACAACATGCAGGTTCTTGCATCCCCTTTCCTTCTTTGTGTCTTTCTTTCTCTCTTCCTTCCTTGCTTTCTTTCTTTCTTTGATTGTTTCTTTCTTTGTTTCTTTGATTGTTTCTTTCTTTCTTTCTTTCTTTCTTTCTTTCTTTCTGTCTCTCATTCTGTGATGCTGTGTGATCGTGTTCTCACTCCTTGCAAGGTCTTCGTTTTTCCGTTGCTTTTCATGACTGCTGTTTTTTTGTCAGAAGGGAGGCTGGAACGGACTTGCGGGCAACGCCAGGTCACATTGGGTATGAAGGAGTAGTTGCCTGCATCCAAGCCCGTGTGCGCTTGAGAACGCGAAGGATGTTGCTGACTTACCCGCGGTCACAACACAAAGTGGCAACACCAAGAAAGACACACCCTTCCTGTTGCATGCTAATGACATCTAATGACTTTCTGCACGAGTGCACGTTGTGCCGCTGGACTCGGATCATGAGGCTGGATGCTTTAGATATCTTTAGATGTTGTAGAAGTACGTTCGATGAATCTTCTGAAGACGCCGTGTTTTGTTCCTGATGGCTAGCGGTTTGAAAGGTGTCTGGGTCCAGCTAATTCGTACACTTTACATTTGCCCTTGCGCTGCCGCTTAAGTTGCTTTGTGGAAGTACCTGAGTGCCAGGCTCCAAGGTAGCATGCCCTGAGGAGGGGAGACTCGGGCATCGGCAGTGCTCGGGCAATGTTGCCTTGTGGCAGCATGGTGCCGAATGCCATCCAAATGCTCCGTTGAACATGCAAAAAATGGGCCTTGCTTTGGCTGGAGAGCTGACCTTGACAGCGTGAGAGGACCCTCGCAAGACACACACGGCGCAAGCGCCGAGCTGGCTCAGCTGGAGGTGTCCAGCAAGCCAGGATGGCCGCTGCGGCTCCTTGACTTCATGGTATTTTTTGGTTGCGCATTAGGCGGGGCCAAAATGCAGCACAAGGTGGTTTTCATGTGCCTTTTCAATTGCCCTCTCTCTCTCTCACACGCCTCGCCCGTCCGGACGCTTCGCGAATCATGGAGGCAGACCGCACCGGTCCGGCAGCTATAAGCTGCAGTGCTCAGTTGGCACCCCCCTCTCCCACATGAGCATGTCTGCTCCGGTACGTGTACCCTAGCAAGCAGCTCAAATACAAAAAGGCCCCTGTGTGAAACAATCATGAACAATATAAGTCGGCACTTGTTGCACACTTGCTGTGACCGCTGCGCAGGGCCGCCCCGTAGAGCCTAGCACCCCTTGCCGGTTACAGACACCCAATGCACGCAAGGCATCATGGGGCTGTTGGAGGCAACCCACTTATGAAAGCATCAGATCTGGTGAGGCCTATCACATAGCTATTATGAGCAAGCTGTTGCAAGTCGTGTTGGTTAGCAAGTGCTGGGAAGCTCTCGTCATCAGCCAAAAAGTACACCCACTGCCGCAGCGGGTGGTATCCACTCAGAAAAGTACGATAATGACCTGAAGAGAGACTGGGCCCCACATGCTCAATCACAAAACTGACTTGGTATTCAGCCCACTGAGCTTGCAACTCAATACCAGCAAAGACTGGCAAGCACACAGTCATTCCGGCCTGAATGTTCAAATGCTGCGTTTGCTTGCGTGGCCCATACCTGCTACCAGCATACCTCTGAAGCACTATGGGCACATGCACACTGGCTCTTAGCATGGCATGCAGGTAATGCTGAGCATGCCATGCTTGGATGCACCCCTGCAGTGTCGGGGAACCCCCGCTGCGGCTCCTTGACTTCATGGTATTTTTTGGTTGCGCATTAGGCGGGGCCAAAATGCAGCACAAGGTGGTTTTCATGTGCCTTTTCAATTGCCCCTAGCGGTTGACACACCAATTCACTTCAGAGTCCGCACCCCCTCCTTATCTACGTGCCAGCTAGGCTGTGGTGCATGAACCCAGTGCTTGGTTGACGCGCCGCTGCCGTACATCTGATTTGGAGCCCAGGTGTCTTCGGGCAACGTTGCGGCCAGGGCAATCCTAGTTTCACACTTGCATCCAAAGAGGTGAAGCTGATCGTGTAGGCCTGCGGCGCGTCACGGTACAGCCACTAAAGCCACCAAGCATTTACTCCCCAGCGTTTCTCCGAGAGCTGGATGTTTGGAGGCTGGTTGCAGACAGGTCCCTTTCAAATAGGGATACGCTGGTTCTTCAACCAACTGCACAATCGTGTTTGGGCATGTCATGGACCCCAAACCAGTGGTGCAGCGTGACGCGCCGGAATTCGTGAAGCTAATGCTGCTGGGATCTTGAACGCTTCAGCATGGACGCCATTTTGGGCGGCTTGGCCAGCCCTAGCCTTAGAACTTCTCGGCTCACCAGCTTCCGCAGTACAGTGCCCGAGGCCTCGCATGGGCCCGTGGAGAGGATGCGAGCCTTGCGTACTTGTGCATGCGTATCAATCATTCACTCAAAAATTGAAGAACAAAAGTCTCTGTCACGCACCAACGTCAGAATCAATGGCCAGGCTGTGTTGATGGGCAATGACTTTTTATCGTTTGCCACTCAGCTCCTGCGCCTATGATGAGGGCGGGGACATAGCCCAACTTGGGAAAGGATGGGGATGGTTTTTTGCACCGCCTGTTTTCTGACAGGTCGTTCGTCCGCGCCTGACCTGTCCAGCCTTCATGCAATGTTGGGAGGTTTGTTGCTGCCTGCGCCGGTATGCTTTCGCACCGCGGCAAGGTTGCAATTAGCGGCGATGCGCACCAGGCAAAAGTGGCGCAGGCCAGAGTTGTTCTTGCCAATCTCATGCTGTTTGCGGTTGGATGCGGTTGGCCAGCTTTGCCGGCTTTGGCATTGGCGAACTTTCGGCTAGGATCTGTTTCGTCAAGAGGCCGGCTTCTCAGCGCTCACTGCCGATTGAACCTTGGGTTGAGGGCAGAGGCTTACAGGCTCAGAGGCCAGCTGAGGGCTGGGGTAGGCCCTCCACATGCCTGTGCATTTGAAACGTGGAGCTGTGCTGCTGAGGTTAGATATGAGAGGTCGCTGCAAATCCGAGAGGACATCCGTGATGTGAACAAGTGCATGTACCCTGGCTGCCAGGCTTTGTTTTGACAACATCTTTCTGTTTCTTGCGCTTTGCTGGTAGAAGCCTCCTTGCTGTTTCAACCAAGGATGGAGAGCGTCCGGCACTCGGTAGAGCCTGCCACCGACAGAGTGCGGATGTGAAAAGCACAATGCGCTGTTGGCCTACTGTACTTTGGGTCGTCACAAAGTTGTGACAGCGGCAAAGGTGCAGACGCACGTCCTTATGGGAAGCATCATTTTAGCTGTATGCTTCAGCATGTCCATCGAGGGCTTCAAGGGCATTCGCACGGACCGTTGCCCGCAGTGTATTTGCGCGCAGCAATGACCAGCACTGCCGTGCAATGTCAAAGTGCCATGTCTGCTTGCGAGGAACGATTGTTAGACATCCTGTGGTTGCTCTTTACATGCTGGGCGTCCACGTGCGCACCTCAGATCCTCAGGTTAGTATGCCGAAGAGAGAAGATGAGAGAAGTACAGAAGGGCGCGTTATGGTTGGCAAACAGGGTACCGGTGTGATGTGCGCAGGTTCACCTTTGTTGCGCTGTGGCTGGCGCTGCGCTTCCAGATGAAGATCTCTGGAAGTGCTCGGGAGCGGCTGTTGCGGCCAGGGCCCTGTGTTTGCTTGTTTTTTGGGGAATGATTGAAGCCGCGTTCGCTTATTTTTTCGGCCAAGGCGTCACAGATTCATGGTGCCCGATGATGTGGTTGTCGGCAAGCCATGCCCTGAGCTTGTGATTTTGGTGCACGCCAAAACATGACTCCTCGGAGAGGTCTTTTGCTAGTTGGCTGACTTTTGCCAGCTAATTGTATTTGTCCAGAGTTAGCTGACAAGGTCATGCGATCCAATCCCAAGCTGATTGGTGCAGGATGGGTGGAGAGAACTTGGTCAACCAGATGGCGGATTTCCACAGCTGGGTGCTTTTGCCAGCTTTGAATGCCTCAAGCCGTTGCGAGTGCCAATTCTGCAAATGACCAGAGTGAGGAAGGGATGCACATAAAATCGTAGAGGCTCTTCAAACCTTGTCGTGGCGGGGAGGTGCTTACCACCATGGAAGACCTCGTTTCAGCACAGACTGATGAGGAGCTCCACCGCCCCAGCTGAGTTGTTGCCAAGCATTGTTCTTTGAAGTCAGGAGACCTTGCAAGAGAAGTGCGAACCAATTTTTTTGAGGCCTGCTCAGAGCTTTGCAAATGGGCCGAGCTAGACACCTTGTGAGGCCAGCTGAGCGACCTCTGCGTGTACGCGCTGCGCGCTCGGAGTTTCATGGGCCCTGCTTTATGGTATGCATGCAACACTTTCCGCCTGGTATCTCCTGCAAAGTGCAATGATGCAATTAGCTGGCAGGTGCAGAGCCTGGATGATGCACCAGTAGATGCTGAGCTAGGCCCCTGGTTGGGAGGAGATGTGGCCAATGCTTTTGGCAGGGGAGAGGAGGCCAAGCACTTGCAGCTGAGGCCATTGAGAAAAGGCCTGCATGCCTGGCTGCATGAGCACGGCGAGGTGGGAGCAAGGTTGCGCAAGGTTGGTTAGTGTGGAAAAAACCCAGTGTGGCAGCTTTGATTGCGACTCAGTTGCAGACAGGCTGTGAAGTGTGCTTGCGTCGCTGGCACCTTGTCGGCAGGGCTATTCGCAGAACAAGACCCTGGAGGTTCCCTATTTCTTGCTTGGTGAGACCTGCGTGTCCACAGCCTAGATCCCATGGGTAGGAAATTGCAAACACTTTCTCCTAGGGTGGATTGAGCCCTTCGCAAGGCGAATGCCTTGGGTGGTGCCCGCTGACGGGCCTTCACTCAAATTGCGAGTGCACATGCCTCAGTTGACAGCTTGCACAGCGGCACATCGCTTCAATCATATTTTGCTATGTCAGGGGTGGCCCATTGAGCAACACAATCTCTCATGCTCAGGTATGGCGAAGCGACCTTGTACGCCCTCTTCCTAGCAATCTCTCTGTAGCAACAGGTTCTTGGGGTTCAACTTGCAGGGACCGTGAGACAGTCTAAGCTA